TTTTTATACGATCTCGTTGCATTTACGAACTACAGCATGCTAGGTGCGTGTGTTGTGGATTAGTTAGCACTGCTAAGTGCTAAGGCCCAATTTCCTAGTAATATATATAGCCTCTAGCTTAGACAGAAACTTAATTCCTTTCCTTATATAATTCTATAGTTAATTAATTAATAACTTGTTCTACTTAGCTTAATTATAACAGATTATAAGCCCGGCGTATACGCTTACCTATCCTAACTAATATAGACGAATTATTATTATAGAGATACTAGTTTAAAGCTAATTCTACTAGCTATAGATTAAGTAGTACCTCTAGAGTTAACTACCGAAATAGGGCTACCCTATACTTAGTACTAAATTAGATCTAACTAACAATTAGTACCTATAAGCTAAGCGAGCTAAGAAAGAGCTTAGTAGTATAGCTAATACTAAAGAATCTATAAAAAGCGTTAAGGAAAATCGTATCCTTACGAGGACGACTAACTTTTCGTTATAAAGATAGATCCTTTAGAAAGAGCTACTAAAGGAGAAGGTATATAGATATATACTTTATAACTTGAAATAGGCAAAGCTATACTATAAACCTCTTAGAACCGACTACGCTAATAATCCGGATTTTAATAAAGCCCTAAGAGAGTTTATAGAAAAAGATAGTATTACTATAGGCATTCTAGTTAAGATAATCTTACTAGATCTAAGACCTAACTTTAGGAGTATAATTACCTAGAAGACTACTAAGGACTACTACGAGACTATAGTAGCTATATACTAACTAATTATTATAGTAGATATCTATAATACCCTAAAGGATTTTAGAACAGTTACTCTTAAGCAAGCAATATCTAATAGTACCCTTAAGTACTATAAAGACTTCTAAGTATAGGTATAGAAGTATAAGACAGCTACTAAGTAGTTTAAAAGAGTATATAGTATTAAGCCTAAGGATATTAAGATCCTAGATATAATAATTAGGATACTCTTTATTAATAGTCTTTAGTACTATAAATAGCTTAGAAGCTAGAGGCACAATAATAAACTAGAAGGAACTAGCTAGACTCTCGAAGCAATAATTATATCCCTTAGGAAGGAAAAGCCTCTAAGGTTATAGAACTAGCAATAAGGCAAAGCCTTTATAGTTGTCTCTAATATTAAGGTTAGGGATAATAATAAGTAGTATTAGCACTATAAGCACAAGCATACTAATATAAAGTGCTAGAGACAATATCCTAATAGAAAGCTATCTAAGGACAAAGACAAAGACAAGTTAAAGAAAAAGTTAAAAGATAAGGACAAGTCTAAATTAAAAGACAAGGATAAATCTAAGTCTAAGAACAAGGCTATAGCTACTAGAAAAGATAATAGTAGCGATAATAACGATAAGTGTAAATTAGATTCTAACTCGGAAGGCTAGGCTTTAGAGGCATATATCGTACTAACCCTAGCCTAAACATCCTTTAATTAAAGTCTAACTCCTATTATATTAGGCTATTAGTATCGTTACGGAAACTTTTTTACTAATCGCGACGATCCTATCGACAGGATCGCTTAGGATCCTTAGGATCCTTAGGATCGTACGTTAAAGATCTTGTCTAATAGGATCGTCGCGATCTAGAAATTCTAGCAAATCTGTTCGTAGTAAGAATTTTATTCTTTGCCGTCCGACTCGTATATCGAGTCGGGCTCGAGTCGTCGTATATACTAGTACTAGTATTTGAATTACATTTTCTATCGGATCTGTATATTATACGATTATTGCTTCTACTAATATCTAACGTTTATATACATATTCGGGTAACTACTAGTATTTGTATACGTCTACTACGTATACTAAGTTAGTACTAACTTAGCGACCGACTCGTATAGTATTAATAGATTTCGTTATATTATATAGGGCATCTATTTATTACGGTTAATAAGAATGTATTCTATTCGTCCTCTACGGCTATATTAAAGCGATATACCTCTACCTTCTTTCGTTTGTTTCCTTTCGACTTCTTTTTCTCTTTTACTATATATCTCCTAATTCTTCGATCCTACGTCTCCTCGTTAAATGCTATCTCCTTAACTTTGCCGCCGTCCGCCTCTATATCCGCCTACTATATCTACTCCCCCCTCTCTAGCCCCTATATATCCCCTACGCGATTACTTTCCGCCGCGAATAAGTCTTATCTGTTAATAAGACTAGTCGGAATACCTGCTATTCTTATAGTAATTAGCGTGCAATCCTTCCCTATTGCTATTACCGCGGTATATCTATACCTTTAGTATTAATTGTCTTCGGTTCTATTATATTCTATTGTCTCGGTTGCACTTGTACCGTTACCTCCCTATACTAAAGCAAACGGATTAGTAGCCCCCGTCGGCTCCTAATCTGTCGCTTAGAAACTGCTCTATAGTATAGGCAGTCTAATATCGTTTTTCTTAGATAGGGCCTCCGCCTCCGCTAACCTATCTATCGCATTATCGCCGGCTTTAAGTTGTTTACTTAATTATTGCCCGGTAGACGCTTTAGGACCTATCGATTATATTAGTAGGTAAGAGAAACACGGCGCTCGTAGACTACTCTTACTATAGCGCTCGATCGATCCGCCTTTATTATCGGAATCTAAAACGACGTCGATTGCTATAAGTGTATCGATGTCGTTACGTACGCTCTCGAAGTCATTTATTAATAATTTAGGGATATCCTATACTCTACCTATATACCGTACGTATATCTTCTACGCTTTCGATAACCGAAGGTTACGAGTAGCTTAATCTGTCGCATTCTACGTAGTTATCCGATCTAGGAACGGCTAGTGCATTAACTTATAATCTAGGGCTAGCTAGATCGCTTTACCTCTAACTTTAGTTAAATACGACTCTATCGACTATCCGGTTAGTATTCTACCGAGTACCGTAGCGGTAGACAATATTATAAAAGGGGTAACTTTATAGTAGTACTGTTTAATATATGTCTTCTAGCCTCGCCGATCCTACCGGAGTAGTATACCCGCTAGACATTTGTATATAAGCTTACTAAGGTAGCGCGTAGCATATATCGACCGTTAGCTATTATCTAGTAACTATGCTATTTTAGAGAGGGTCTTACTAGTTTCTCGTCGTAGCACTCGAAGATTTAGTTATCGAGTATCCTCTTAGCGTATACTATCCTTTTTAGAGTATCGGTTATTACGATCGGTACTTAGTTTGTTAAGGTTAATCGGATATAGGTATTAATATAGCCTCGCTCCTTTCGTATAGCTTCTCGCAACTATTTTAATATTAGTCTCGATGCTATTATATCGGGATCTCTACCGACTGCTTAGACTACGTCTCTCGACGGTATATAGCTACCCGGCTATAGTACTATTATATATAAAGCTAGTAATCGATCGTAGTTTTTACTATATACCTCCTTAATTGTTTCGTCTACCTATACTAGGGTTTAGGTAGTAGGAAACATCGTCTTATATCCTCGGGCCCTAGTTAACGTAATAGCGAATAGTTTACGACGCGTCTCGTTATACAAGATTTGCTCCCTTACTTCGAGTAAGCCCTTCTTTCGATTTAAACGTTCTTTACTAGAAGTCGTTAAGCCTTTGTCTCGCTTCTTACGTCGTTTTAATAGCTTTATATCGTCGCTCTAATCCGCCCTATCGTCGCCGTACTTCCGTTTTAGCCTTGCCGGATCTTTGCTATTCTTGCCCTTATACTAGTTACGTTAGTCCTCTATTACCGTGCTCTAGTATACGTTACCTTTATAAATTTCGATCTAATACTAGTCGCTATATATAAACGAGTATCCTCCCCGTTTTCTTCTTCGAATCTAGTATCCCTATCCGACTCTATCGAGTTAGATAACGACTTAGTTCTGTATTTATCTTCTTCGTAGTTGCGACCTATCCTAAGTATCCTATAACGAGTAGTAGTATTATTGCGAATCTAACGTAGTATATATTAGACTATACGTATCTTCGTACTTGTTTACCCTACGAAAAGGGGGGTATTAAATTGCGGTTTTATCTTCTACTCCTATATAGACTGCCCGAGTCGCCGTCTATAATCGCTTATTAGTCCTATCGGATATGCCCCGCTAACGCTAAAGCATAATCGTAGCCTATAGACTGTTCGCTATTTTCGTACCTTATCGACGCTAGCCCGATTTAGTCGCGAGTTAGATTCGGGAACTATTAATCTAGCGCTATTATTAGTCTAGCGGTAATTATTGTAGTCTATACCGACGGCATATAGTAATACTATCGACATTGTACTAAAGCAATCGGCGTATTTAGACTATTTATTCCTCGCTCGGTCGCTACTATAGTATATATAGATATATATTCTTTATCGGTAAATCAATCGGCGTTAGCTAATCCGCTAGGTCGAATATATACCTTCGAAGCCGCCTCGTAGCATTACGGGTTAGTTAGAACTATCTCTATCGGCGTGTTTAGCTAATTCGAGGTTAATAATACCGTAGAGGCCCTATACTCGATAGATGCAATTCTAACTAGATTAGCTAGAGGTATACAATCTACCCTAGTACGACGACTGCTAGTCGCAGCCGATTTAGCCTTTCCTTAACTATCGCGCTACCCCGAGTCCGCTATCGCTATAGCGCGATTAGGGTACTTAAATATAGGCCGAGATTAAATAGATAAAAGAAGAGATCGCGGCGCTTAAGACTACTATACGTAATATGCTTACTATATATTAGTATATGTCTAAGATTAAAGCGTAGTGCTTATCGTAGTCGGGGCATCTTGCCTTCCGTTTAATAAATAGATTAGTGCCTATTACTATTAGAGTAGGACTTCTATATCGGACTTAGTGAAATTAATTATTTATCTTGCTTTTCTGCGTTTATATTTACGCTCGTTCTGCCTCCTTAATTTGCCTATAGATTGCAAATCGCAGCTATAGGCCTCTGCCTAATGTATCGGATAGACTAGCCCTCTACTGTCGCTCGTTGTTAATTCGAACGTATCTATATTAGTCGCTTATCTAATATAAGGCGTCGACGCCGGCTTCGAAACTATAATCTATCCGTAGTATCTTAACTAATCGTTCGAGGTCTATATTATCGACTCCTACTAACGCGCGGCCTCTAACTATAGGCTAGCGATAATCGAGTTTATATAGTCGATATATAGGTTTTGCCTTCCCG